ACCATGCTCACGACCTGTATGTTCCAGCGGGAGTGCAAACGCATCTACCGGCAGGGGACCTGGCCTCAGAGGGCTGCCAGTGCATACCAGGCTCCGAAGTCCATGGTTTGCTGATCCTGGCATAGCAGACACTTACATATATTTAAGCCCTGCTAATCGTTATAACGTCCATCAATGCATTCAATTTGCATACATTTAGAGGGGAGCACAAGAAAACTCAGTATACTCGAGCACAAAATTGAGAAGGAATGTTTGTGTAGTGTGTGCGAGTAGACGAAGAAAGGGATGATGTCAATTTGTTGGTCATGTTCTTCATAAGAACATTGCCATTAACTCATTGGGCAGAAAGTTATATTTTGATCAGCTAGTTGAATAAAACAAGACGCTTGATCTTTAACCATCTTAGTCGCCCTTCTTAGGGATCTTCCGATAATATTCTAGTTTCTAGAATGCCCACAGTCTCATCCCGCTTGTCAAATGTATTCCAAATGCGACCTCACAAATGTCCTGAAAATCTCGGAAAAGAAGTACTCATCACAATCCACAAAGGTCCTCTTGATGGCGTAAAAGACGGTTTTACTGAGTTCATCGTGAGCTTGCTGAGGTCCTGCGGATCGAACACGCGAAATTATTATAACTCATTGAAAATCATGCGAGGGCTGCATTTTTAACTTGGTTTGAGTTTGCGTTTTTACTGAATAAGGTCAAATACAAACTCAGAGGAGACTGCAAATCATTCGTATTTGTTGGGTGGAAATTCGCTGCATACATCGCACAGTGCTGACTGCATAGTTTTTAAACTGTCATTTAAACGTGCTCCCAGAGACGCTCTGTTGGATTGAGTTCATCAGGAGACATTGCGAATGATCACTGCCGAGGTATCGGCATGATATTATCTTAAAGATTGTAGCCGTTTAAACTGAAGATACAATCCCTAAGCATACTATAAAAGCCGTTCATACCGTCTATTTGGCATATGTAGATATCTGTGTGCAACGAGCGGGAAGTAGGTATGATATGTGATCCAACTCTCATGAAATATCATTCCTATCTTAGGGTACACCGATGTGGTAAGTGGGCTGTCTGCCCATACAGGAACAGAAAG